TGGTGACACGGTCCAGGATTTTGAAGCTCGTGTCCAGTTTCAAGGGCTGGCTGCAGCGCTGGCACACAAAGCTCACCTGCATGGTGCTGTTGGAAGTCTTAGACCCCTCCATCCCTGCGGCGGTGGAAAGGAGGCGATGTTAGGGAGAATCGGCACCCTTCAACCTCCGGCCCAGGGCTACCACCTGCCTTGGTGGTGGTGGTGAAGGGGATGAATCCTGAGTTGCGCCGTTCCCTTTAGGAACGGTACGATCAGGCTGACCTGCTTCCGGGGCAGCCTGAGTGAGCAAAGGCAGTTTAGAGCCCAGGGTCAGGGAAGGGTCTCCAATAGGAGGCGTGAGGGTTCCCAGGCTCCCTTCTAAGGTCTCAGTTCAGCCCCTGACGCTCTTCACCTCGGGACCCCGGAGCCCGCGACCCAGGTCCAGTCTACCGCGGGGGCACCGTAGCCTCAGGTCTACCCCGGCGCGAGGCCTCCAGAACTGCCATCGCCCTGTCTTCGGCTACTTCCCGGTCCGCCAGCGGAAAACTTCCGGCCGGGACCGGACGTGACGCCACGACGGCAGCAGGCGGGCCCGGTCCACAGGCGGTCGTGCCCGGTGGCGGCCCCCAGAGGCTGAGCTGGGAAAAGCAGCCGGCGTACGCGGGTGTGCGAGGTTGCGACCTGGAGTGGAAACACCAAGTCCGGAGAGAATGAGACTCTGCTGTTCTCTAAATTCAGTGGGTTTGCTCAAGAATGCTCACTCCGAAGTGGAGCCACTTCAATTCCTTCCTTCAGTGTTAGTTTTTAAAATTTCTCCTTAGGAGAACCGGGCTGTCCTTCAGATGCCTCTGAGGAAGTGATAGAGACACGGGGCGGGGGGTGGGTGGGGGGAGGAGATAAGCTTTAGTGTGTTTTATTTTATATTTTAAAATTGCAATTATTAATTAGGGAAAGCTGAGCACTTTTAGATATTGACACATTTTATAAAGTTATAAAATTTAGACATTTGTGTTTTGGTGCGGGAAGAGACAGATCAATGGAACAGAATAGAGTTCAAAAATAGGTTAAGTATACAGTCGAATTTAGTGTGTGATAAAGGTGGTATTTCAAATCAGTGGGAAATGAACTATTTAATAAATGATGAGTTCGGCCCCAAAGCCATGTAGATGAAAGTAGTGAGCTGAATCTTCTATTTCACTGTTTACACCAAAAGAAGTTCCAAATTGGTCATAAATTGAAGCATCAAAAATGCAGTGATTTCAGGTGACAGCATAAGTATTTTTTATAGTTTTGGAGCGGGGAAGCTTTGCCGAAGCATAACATGAAAATCAGAAGTCAAAAAAGAAAATACTGAATTTCACTGCTTAGAAATTAAAAATTTTTTGAGACAGAGTCTCACTGTGTTGCCTGGGCTAGAGTGTCGTGGCGTCAGCCTAGCTCACAGCAACCTCAAACTCCTTGGGCTCAAGCAATCCATCTGCCTCAGCCTCCCGAGTAGCTGGGACTACAGACATGCGCCACCATGCCCGGCTAATTTTTTTTTTCTATATATTTTTAGTTGTTCGATTAATTTCTTTCTATTTTTTAGTAGAG